ATAACTTTGTCATAAGACCAACTGAATATGCTTGATGCAAAATGATTTTATTCTGTGGTCTGTGGGAGAAAAAGAAACAAAAAAAGAAAGAGGGAAGGAAGAGCAATGTGTCCGGTCAGCAGGTACTGGTGGTGTGGTGTGCATCTTTGGCTCTGTTCTCACAACTTTTAGATCGATCTATCACCGCGGGGAGTCTCACTAGATTACTGTCAGATAATCCCCCTTAAGTGTCCGTCCCCGCCTACTACAAGCTTTAAGGGGTAATTAACTTTCGTGTCCGCCCGGCTGACAGCTATTTAGCGTGAACCCCCAGGGAGTTAGGTCGATCCAATGTAGGTCGATCTAATCTATGAGAATGGGGTGTTTCAGTACGGCCAGACACACAACTTATTACTGCCAGATAAACAACAGTACCCGGATGCCTGTGCCCAATGTGCCCCGTTTGGCTCCCATGTGTTGGGTTTCACTGAAGTCTTGGTCGCTGGCACCTGCTGAGGGATGGAGAGAGGGTTATGATAACCAGATATGGGTTTCACTGAAGTCTTGGTCGCTGGCACCTGCTGAGGGATGGAGAGAGGGTTATGATAACCAGATATGGCACTGGCTCTGTCTGCTAGGCAGGGTCATTCAGGGGCAAAGTGAACTGACCAAGCAGCAGCACCCCCCCCCCCCCCCCCCAATCCCTCTGCCAGCCTTAGAGTGCATTCAGAACTGTGGACCAACAGACCCATGGATCAGATATGGCCAACCCACTTGAATGCTTGCTGCATCATTCCCTTGGCTAATTTATTCAATGCCTAATTGGGAATTAAGCGACACGCTTTTTAGTGGGTCATATTTGATCTACGGATCTGTTCGCTGTTCTGAATGCGGCCTTAGAGGATTAATGAAACAAAAAGCCAAGTCATTGCAAGCAAGCACTGCCAGACATGCAACAACATTTGGCTTGGTACACACACTAACATGATTTTCTTAGATTAAAAATCCCCCTCTTGGGCCATTTTTAAGATGAGGTAGAGTTAGCCAAGTGACATATGGTGGAAGAAAATTTCGAGATAGTTTTTGAAAAATCCATATAAGGGGCTTGTTAGAGAAAAGAATAGGACAGATGTCTGTATTGGTAAAAGAACCAGGTAGATATAATGTTTGAGCATTAAGAATACCTTATAGGGGCCCTTGTAATAACTATTAAGGGGTGATATCCATATATTGAAGTTAAAGAAGGTCAGTCAATCCCCCGCAGTACCAATTACAATTCAAGTTTCTCTAAGATCTTAGCTTGGATTGGATTTTACTGGCCCTGAAGTGCAGAGACATTGGTGAGGATGATATTATGATAGCGAAAAACAGAATTGCCATTCAAATTATCTGTAATCACTGCCCTTAGCCTTTCAAGGGTGAATCATGCCGTACTTGTATCAGAGTATTAAGATGCTCAGACGACCATTAATGAGGCGGCCTGTTGCCCATAGTTGTTTCCCTGTGTCTTCCTGTGAATGAAAGAGACTTCCACCTTGGAAATGGGCCATGGACACGGAAAAATTTGGATGAAATTCTTTTGTAGGCCAAAGATGCTTGTAACGACAACAGCTGACAGTTTTGAAAATTTGCTTTTATCCAACCTTGGTGACCACTTATTGGTAAAAAAGAGAAAAAAAATAGAGAATAGATAACTGGCATCTTTTATAGTCCTATTATATTAATGATCTATCTTCCCTATGGTTACTGACACAGATCTTGGTTTTAATGTCATATTGGAATGAAAATTGGTATGATAAATCAAAACCGTGTTGAGAAACTGCATCAGTAAAGAAATATCACAATTAAATTTTGTTGCTAAAGGCATAGGGAAAAAATACATCCATGACACTGATATAGATGCTTAAGAAACTTCCTTTTAATTTCCTTTAGTACCCTATGTCAGCTATACCCAACATATTCACTTAAAGCTGTGCATCCCAATATATTTTCTTGATGATTAATTAGATTTTGGTTTTCCAGGCAGAAATTAATTTCCGTCTCAGGCCATTACATCAGGTGTGAAGCTTGGATTTTTTCTCTTTTCTCTTTTGTAACCACCAGTTACCTTTTGTTTTCTTGTAACTGCCAGGAAAGTGAAATTTATTGAAATTACTATTTTTTCATTCATGATAAAATGTATTTTATTTCACATCTTCAACTGCTCTAAAAGTAAGACCCATTTCCATAGACTTTAGATCGATCTATCCCTGTGGGGAGTCTCACTAGATTCCTGGCAGCTTAGCCAGCTTAAGCGTCTGTCCTGCCTACTGAAAGCTGTAAGGGGGTAATTAACTGTGGTGCGCGCTCGGCTGACTGCAATTTAGCGTGAACCCCCAGGGAGTTAGGTCGATCTAAATCTTAATCTCTGGATCGATCTAAATCTCTGGGAATACACCCTAATACCCCATGTTTTCAACTGTTCCAGACTGTTCTATTGTTAATTACCACATCAGGTAACGTCATTGGGAAAGGTTGTCAGGAAACTTTGCCATATGCTGTTTATCACATTTTGTAATTAACAGTCAAAGAGTAAGCTGTCAGGAACTTGGAATTAACAGCTATATGATGACTTAACGCCATAAATATCATTCATTTTGGCCTACATGACATTTATCGCATTGAAAATTACTTTCAGTTTTTAAAAATCTGCCACAGAATATACATCAACTGAGCAAAATAACTTTTTATTTCTTGGAAAGAAGAGATAATCTAAGTCATGGACCACCAGGTTCTTTTTATAAATGAGAATTCAGTTATAGATTCCTTTTTTTTTTTTTTCTTCCCCTTTCACCTCTCCTGGAAACGTTGTATTTGTTCCCTGGCATGCCGAAGCAGAAAAAATTGTGCTGTTTTTATGAAATCATGAAAAAGCGGTACTGAGTTAAGATGAAAAGGAAATTGATTTTTTGGGCCCGTCTACACGATGAGAAGAAACAGCACAGTTTAGAATGAAGGTTTATTTTTGTAGTCTGTTTAAGAACGAGTCGAAAAACAGAGAAACAGCACAGAAGAGAAAATTAAATGCTATTTAACAAAGCACATTATGCCATCAACAAAAGCACTTTTGTTTAATATAATCAGGTCGGTCAAAAGTTCCTGTCTCACTATGACTGTAAGCCTTGAAAAATTCCTGAGGTCATTTTGGGATGGTCCCCCACCACCAATTTCATCATGTGGCCTGTTTTTAATCCCCGCTGCAGTGTGTTTGTGTGCTATCAGCTCCTGTTACCTTTAACCCTTCATCGCCAGGCACACCGAGACTGATATCTATCTCTCTCTCTCATCACGGCACTGGGTGAACTGTACTTTCTCTCCACTTATCTCTGAAATAAATGGATTGAAATATTAAACAGTGGTAAAGTCTGGAGGGTTGATGTGTAATTTACCACTGTGATAAACAGCGTTGGATTTAACAGAAGCGGCCTGGCAGGAGGGGCTCATTAAAGTCTCGGCATATTTTCTTATTCATATTTCCTTCTCTCTTTACAATATGTCCTAAGGGCTAAGTATGTGCACCTGCCTCCTCCAAATCCAACAAAATGAGTTCAGGAGGTGATGTAGAAAGAGATTCTCAACTTCACGCAGAGTGTTTACATTGATTTTTATTTTTGGGTGAAGGGTTTAGGTGTTTTTACAGTAGTCATTGGACTCCTTCAGAGAGAGAGAAAGATAGGCATTAGGTGATGCACAGCAAACGGTAGGACAGCAACTTAACAGTCCCTAGTCATCTGTTCACTTGAGGGCACCTGCAAACTTGAAAACCAATCAGACCAATTTTCAGATGTCAGGAAGGATAACTTTCATGTTTAATGTTCTTCTCTTTGTTATAAGACTGATGTTACTCTCCAGTTTCCAGTCTAAATCAACCCTGATATGAACACATATGAAGTCAGTCCTTTTCTTTCCCATTATATATATATGTATGTATCACTATTTATTCTCAGCCACAGCAGGTTGGCAGGTTGCCCATTATTCCCGTGACCTAGATCTGCAGATATGATGTTAATTACAGAGGGGTGTGCTCAAATATTTACTTGCATCAGCAGAGTTGGTTGGTTGGATGGCTCGGTGCTATTATCAGAAAAGCTGGAGAGAGAAACACCGATGATGACTCACCTGGTGGCAGTGAATAGCATGTTGTGGCTGGGATAGCCTGAACAAGCAGCCGGCAGCTTATATATACCCAGAATGTATTGTATTGTATGGACTGGTAGCATGATACTATAGTGCTTGGTGATTATTATTGGTAATCTTCAGACACTTTGTGGTCAGAGAGTAAGAGGAGTGTACACACACACTCACACCATGTGCCGTTGGGAGTCCACATGAGGTGATGTCAAAGGCCAACACTATGCAGTCATCAATTTAATTAAAGATGATTCATATTTAAGGTCAAGCAATCAAACTTTTTGGATGGTGATACTTGATGGTGGTGCTGATGGTTTTGTGGTGGTGATGATGATGATGAGCGTGGTATTATTCTCAGCCGTACAGGTGTGATGACTTCATCGTATTGGAGCACTGAAAGTATTTCTTCACTGTAAGAGCTAACTGTTGGTGGCACTCACACACCTGGAGACACATGTTTTCAAATCTGTGTGGATTATTCATAGATATGAGGGAAAGTTTGAAGCTTTTCACAGCATTCTGATGACTGGATATTGAAACTGCAGATCAGTGCCCACTGCTGGACAATTGGTTGACCTATTAGTGGTATTGGGATACAGCACTGACTATTACAGCCCATAATTGAGGACTTAATGGATCTCGAACTCAATGACCAGTTAATGGATATGAGTGACCAATAACTAGACGCACAGTTTTGACAAACTTGATTTAAATTGAGTCATTTCTAGGTTTCAAGCTCTATGTGAAGGAGCAGTCAGAAAGCAGGGACTAACATCCGTTTAAGATATTGAAAATATGACATTCTGATAGAAGTTTTTTTGCAAAGTTTGTGGCTTATATTATTGATATTTAATCTCCGTAACTTGTAATTTGTTCTCTGTGCTTTTGCACTTTATTTTTACCATTGGAAGGAGAACAGAGCTGACATTCTAGTTATTAAGTGTCACATCCTCTCACAAGCTGTTTGTAGAAATAGCTGCCAGTGCTGCTTTGGGACTTCCTGAGGAGAGTCGAGATGTTATTTATTTAAATTTCAAGAACATTTTGTAACAGTGGCTTATGGACTTGCTATTGCAGTAATAATATCTCTGCTGTCATTTTCACTCACAGAAGCGCATACTTAAACCGCATGCCCTCCAACTTTGAAAATATTTGGAAAGCATATTTTTTTAAGAGTTGATGCAGTTTTTCTCTTGGTTATTGACGTACGGATGTTGTGGAAGCAGTATTGTAAGAAGGAAAGAGAAAAATCTGTAGGTTCTGAATCAAACTTCAGATTTGTAAGCTGAACTTCTTGGACACTGGGTTTTTTTTTTTCTAAGTGCATAAGAATAATTACCCCACAGTCGCATCCTCATGGCAGCATGTATGGTGAATAATTTTGGAGGCTTAAGGAAAATTGAACGTACTTTAACTGGAGGAATGCAGCATGTGCCTGCTCGCGTGCATGATCATCGTGCAGGAGCAGGTCAGCTGCGAAACAGTCTACAGGTAAAATATGGTTCTTACGAAAAGTGTCATTTTTGTGTATGTTTTTTGGGTTCAGTTTTTTCCCCCCAAAAGGATGTGAATAACAGAAATGAAGTCAACTCCATATGATCAATTTATTAATATTTATGCGGCAGGCAAGGTCATTTTTAGTAGTTCATTTATGTTTTATATATGCCTCCTACCAATGTCATCTTGCCCTTGATACTTTTAGCCGATTGATTTTTCAGCATGAACTGGGGATTGTAGAAGAAGATATATCCGTACTCCCAGAGGGAGAGAACAGAGATGCATGGTGCTGATGAAGTTGTTCATGATGTATATAACACAAGCAACTTCTGTTTGCCACATATGACATTTTATCCGTATTCACACCTTTTAAATCTTGATTTTATTATTTTTCTCTTCTTTCAGGAGAAACTGCCGTCTGCCACCAAGACCCCCCAGCCCCAGAAGGTGGAAAAAGGACTGAAGAGGAAGCTGTTTAATCAGGGAACACAGGAAGAGGAAGGTGGGTGAAGGTGGTTGTGATTTGGGGGAGGGGGGGGGTAGCACTTACACTTGCCAGTTTAGCCAAATGCTAAAACTAACTTTAATTGGCTAAACAGTAGGGTTGATTTGACTTGTTTTTTGTCAGATTTAAACTATTTTGTGAAAAAAAATTAATGAAAAAGAATTGTTTTGGCTAAGCGAAAAAATTTGCTAGCGCTACCCCAGATAGAGATGCCTTACAAAGGGGAAAATCTGGTCAATGAGAGAGTGTAGCCAGGAGAACGTAAATTTAGAATTGGGGCCAAACCAATCTATTCAGAAAGAGAGAGAGAGCATTAATGAACAATGCTGGGCGATAGTGATGTCTTTGAGGAATATTCCAACATGTGTGCTATGCTTTTCAGTCAGACCTAAAAAGGAAATATATTTCCATTGATAACTGTAATCATGATGTACTTCTGTGTGTGGCATTGGCCTAGTCTAATGATGATGTGTAGGCAATGTGATGTGATGCGGTGAAAAAACTGAAGTTCACATGCAATTCTCAACTTAAAAAAGCGGCTTTCCTGACCCAGCGGGTCAGAATGACATGACCTTGACTTTTTATGCCAGTTGATGAAAGGGGATGGGAAGGGGGGGTGCAAGGTGAAAAAGCATTGTAAGTATAAACAAGCCTGGACAAAATAAAAAATTTTAAGCTTGGAATGGAGAAAGTAGCATAGAAATCACACCGAAGAAGAAGACAAATACAGGCTGACGTTGATAAATGTGGACTCGACCCAGTATATTGGTGTATTGGCGGGAACACACCTGGGCTCCTAATCAGCATGAGGGTTTCATTTACTGGTTAAACTGATGTAGACATAGCCTACCTGTGTGCTTAATACAGCCCACCTGGCTGGCTCATATATCTATATCAGAGTACAGGTGAACTCTGTGTCCCCCCTCATAGTTGATTTGTGCGTAAGATCTATAAACTCTCTGTGCTTCGTGGCTAATTTGGGCCATGTGTTTCTGTACTATTTATTCCAAGTACTTGGGTTATTTATGTATATAAGAAATGAGGTGTCTGTGCTGTTGGTGTCAGCTTTTTCGTGTCTTTCATTTTTTTTATGTTGGCAGGGTTCACATAAGGGGCAATTGCAAGAATATGGACATTGAAGTGTTTTTTTTTTTTTTTTTTTTTCCACCAGAAAAAAATATTTCTGAAGGAGTATGTTGCATCTTAATTTAACATTTTTTTCCACTGCTGACTTAGGATAGGGATTGCCTGTGCTTTCGTCAGTTCTGTCAAAAAATAAATTATGAAACGGTAAGACCTGGCTGCTGAATTGCTTAAGCAGTATTTTTCAAAAAGAGTTAAATTGCATTTATTCTGAAACGCTTATTGGGGAAATGGTTTAGTCGTAAGAACGTTTTGCTGGCTCTTTGATTAATGTCCCCCAGGTGTCTAAGTGATGGGCATGCCAGACCCGACTGTTGTACAACGCATGTTTTGTTGTTTCTCTTACTGTCAAGCAACTCCCATTACTTTAACACTGTGACACAGCCTAACATATATACGTATGTCACCACAAGGACACCTCAATTGTCCCATTCTTTAATCTCTTGCAACTTTTTGGAGCTGATATACAGATAGAAAATGAGTAGTTTTTTTTATATGGAGTTGATGACTGGATTGATTGCTTTAACTCTGCACTTTCCATTGTTTAGTTCTGACATATTTTCTTTGTCCTTTTTGCCAAGATTTTTCAGAAGTTACGGTGTACCAGCTAACTCCCTCGTAGGCACTGTATTCTTTTGGAACAAAGATAAATATTTTTTTGCGTAACCTACCTTATGTCATAGCGATTATCAGTTTATTTTTTTAGCTGCTCTAGATATATGTAAAAAAAAAACAAGTACTCAGGCACGGCCAGCTTACGCTTCCTATCCTCCAATTCAGTAGCAGCTAATATAAACTGATTTCTGGCATAATCGAGCTATTTCGTACATTAATTAATTAATTTTTTTCCTAACCTCTGAAGAAATGACTTTAGGAGCTGATCCAGGTAAAAAATTTTAAAAGTCAGCTTGGAAATGAAAACACCCAGTTTTAACAGCTGTCATTTTGCCATGGGGGGGATCAGTCCAGATATGAGAGCTTGTGTTAGATAAATTTTAATGCACAGCAGTGAATGAAGGGAAGTCCGAGTTATTATCAGATGCAAGCGGGAGATTAGATCACATGCTGGATAAATTTTATGTAAATTCATTTTAGGATAAGTGTTGTCATCATGTTTTGATTCCTTATCAGGGTTGGATTGGATCATAAAAAGCACTCATTTGAGATAAATACAGCAGGGATGAAATTTTTCTAACTATGGGCAGATTTCAGACTTTTTGGGAACCAAACTTATCATTGGCTGAAGTTGCACCCTGGATGCCATGCCATTTTTTTTTTTTTTTTTTTTTTTTTTTTTTTTTTTTTTTTTT